GTAATGAACCAATTAAAATCAAAGAACACATTGAGGTATAACACTTTAAATTAATATAAAATGAATCAAGTAAATATATGGACGTCGTTTAGAAAAAATAATTTACCTCTTGAATTGCCATTGTCTTACAGATATGACACACTATTAGAAAACTATTTGAACGAGTGATTAAACCATCCTTAATACTTTGTAAGACGATGACATTTCGAGAAGCAAAATATTTTTTCTTAATGATGTCCAAGTATTTACTTGTTATAGCTTTATAATCCGACAATTATATATTATTCTCCTTAGCAATAAAAATACTTAAACTTTTCCTAGTTTATTTCTTAGTGATCAATTTGTTTCTAACATTTCATAATGAATAACTAACTAATAATAAAAAAATGTTATTAAGGCGATTTTGTTTTGCCTGGATTAATTATATTTATAATATCTATTGATAGTCTCATGGAAGTTATTGTTTGCAGTAGAGTTGTTCTTAAAATAAATAATAAGACACTAAATACATAAATAAAATGTATTATCAGTTGAAAGTTACTAATCAATATTCTTTTACGAGAGTGCTAAATTAGTCACAATCTTTTTTTGAAATAACCGAAAAGTCTCAATACTCAATACTTCAATGCTTTAAGAAATATTTATTTTTAGTTGTTTTCATTATTAATTTAACTAACACAGCTTTAATCAAATTTTATACGAGTTTATAAGCAATTGTGTTCAAAGACTAATCAGTCGCGTATTGGGAGGTTAATAACCCAGGTAGCAGAGAAATGAAGCAACCCTTTTTATAAAGAAGTTTAAAAAATAAAAAAAACTCAGCACAGTGGGGTTGCGGGATAGTGGGGACGTTGCATAGTTGGGTCCAGTATAGATTTAATCTGAAAGTGATTAAAATCACTATCATAAGAAACGCTTCGATGCAAATCTTTAGATAGTGTTTAATTCTGATAAATTGATGGATAATTACAAAAGCAAAATCAACTTCTATTTCCTTAATTATACCCAGCTTAGTAATTCTTTTAATTATATAATATATAATTTTTAAAATTAATTGTTTTAAAATTATTATTGATTTTGATTTTTAATATGTTAAAAGTAATTATTTTGAACCTACTTTTTTTTGTCCTTTAAAGTGAAAGTTTTAATTAAAAAAATGTGAATTTATTACCATAACTTTTAGCTCAACTTGCAAGTTTGAAATTGACATTATTAAATAGAAAAAAATGTAATTGTTAAGATTAATATGCAATCAGGAAATTTTATAATTACTATTTACAGTACATTTTTCAGAAAAGTTTGATTTATTTTACTTCTTTATCGTAATAAATAACTTATATAAAAATCATAGTAATCATTTCTAATTAACTTTTGGTGTTTAACAAGATTCTACTATGGAAATATTCAGAATTTAATTAATTTTAATGATTATATATCTAAAAAAACCAATTACATTTTTTTTTAAATTTCGACAGCCATTTGCACATAGAAGATAAGGTGTCGGGACAAATTTTTTTTGATAACCTTTGATTTGACATACGTTTAAAGGACGCAGTATTTCCGGAACATTTTCAATAGTTAAATTGAAAAATTTAGTTTTTGTAAAAAAGTTGCTATTTTAAACCCCCCAGTGAGCAGTTTAAGTGTTAAAATTTCAAAAAATGATATCAAATGAAAGGAAAATATCCAAGGTTTAAGTATAAAAAAACTATGTTGATTTGTTGATTTTTGAAAAAGTTATGGAAGTTTTAAGAAAAAAAAGTTAAAAAAAATGACAAAATTTACCGATTTTTAAATTTGTAATTGTTTTGGAGATTTTCCCCATTTGCAAGGAACGAGGGAAAATTGTTCAATTTTTAAGGGTAATGTCTTCAACTAGATACGATTTGTGATCTTTTGACGTATTGTTGAAAGAAAACGGTTGTCCAGTGAGAGCTGAGAAAAAGTAGTGTAACAGACACAAAAAAAAAACACATCATGGTAAAATTAATACCTTCTCAGCTTCGTATTGAAACTAAAATTGAAAGGCTCACTGAAAAATCTTGGCAAAAAATATATTTAAAAATTTATTTTTCCCAGTTTAAGCTATCTAGAGATATTGTTATTAATGAATCTCAAGTGGGTATTACCTTTTTCTCCCGCGATCAGTCCACCTCTAAAGGTAATAAGCTAATTTTAATAACCTCAAAATTATTTTCGTTATTTGTTACTAATATCCTTATGCATTTAATAATTTTTATAAGTCATATAAAGAATTGAAACATATTTTAGTAAAGTATTACTTTTAGTGTTACACATTAAAACTAATGTAAAGTAAAAAATTTATTAAAAATCTTAAAAATATTATTTATATAAAACAGGTATAAATAACTATTATTTCAGAAAATTGAAGAAGAAATAACCATTATGAGTGACAAACTAAACAGGGTTATAACACACAGTAGAGAAATTGTGGAAAACATCAAAGAAGCTGATGAAAAAGTCATAATACCAAAAACTGTGGAATCATTGGCTCATAAAATGAATCAAATCAACGTATGGATAGATGAAAAACGTCTTCAGGTAAAATAAAAATAATTATTGTATTGTTTAAGTTAACAAAAAACTAACAAAAATAAGTATTTTTAAAATCATTGTCAAATATTGAAAAAAATATATTTTATTTGAAAATTTTCTATTTTAAAATCTTCCCTGTAATTATGTTTAATATTTAATATCCAAAAAGAAGTGTATGGATAAAAAAAAACATTTTTCTATATCATAAGAAAATTTCATCAATCCAATTTTATCTAAAAAGTTAGTTATTTTAAATAGCGGATAAAAATTACAAATTTCCATTTTCTAGAATTGTAATATTATGAGATATTATCACTTAAATATTTTTTTAAGTTAATGTCATCAATTTATTATGATTTAGGTTCTTTTAATGTATTGATCTATAATATTGGCCCAGTAGAATCCGAATAACAGTAACGACATACATAAATACAACATAGTAAAATTAATTTGACCATGATGTGCTATGTGGTATTAATTTAATACCTTCTACAGCATCAAATAGAAGAAAAATCTTCTTAATATTTAATGTAAAATGTAAAGTAAATATTATTGTAAGATAACGCATACAAAATTTTGCTAGTATTATTCATACAATTTTTTAAAAATATATCATTTCCAATATCTTTCAAGCATTTCAGACATTATATTTTCTGTCAATTATTAATTCATTATTATGTAAACATTACTATTCATACATATTCATATCATTATAGTTATTTTAAATTTGATTTTACAAAAGTGTTTCATATTTAATGTTATAAATATAAAAATATTTTTGTATCATTTTTTACTAAAATTAGTAATTGGAAATTGTCGATTACTTATAAAAGATAATTTGTATTCGTTCATAATTTAATAAAATTAATTAATTTGTTATTTTCAGATTGGTAACACCCTAGATGCTTGGCAGAAATTCATGTCCCTATATGATACAGTTATTACTTGGTGTAAAGATAAAACTAAATTTTTAGAAAAACCGATCATATTAAGTACATTAGAATCAGCTAAACAGAAGTCGCATGAATTTTCGGTATTAAGCTTTTAAAGATTTACTTAACCTCAAATTTTAAATTGCCAAAATTTAACTCTTAGGTAGCCGTAAAATCAAGTAAACACCAGAGCAAAAATTTAGCTGAAATGAATAAGGAGTTGGAAATAATAGCTATGTCAACAGATGTTGGATCATTACCAGAAAAGTTGGAAGAAGCTAATAATATAAAAAATGAAGTCGAAGGAAAATTATCAGAAAGAGTAATTAGAATAATTTTCATTCAAAGGTATAATTATCAACATATTAATCACAAATAACTTTTTAGTATGCATTATTACATGAAGCTTGCGAAGAATGGGAACAGTTTGAAAGAAAATTAAAAGATGTTAGAACATTTATTGAAAAATCTAAACATGTTATTGAATCACCAGGTAATAAAAAACGAACCTTGAGGGAACAGCATGATTTAAGAGAAAAAATGCTAGCTGATATCTCAATACAAAAGAAAAAAATAACTTTATCAACAGATAAATTACAGGTATTTCATTAAATCATAACAATATTAATAAAAGACAAATTTTTTAAATTTAAAAATCAGATTCTAAGCAAAACGTTATTAATTAGGATAAACGTGATAACGTATTTTAAAAGAAATTTTTAGATGATGAGTTCCTTTGACCTTAAATCAGCAATACATAACCTTATATTTCGTAATTATCAAACGATTTAATGATAATGTATGAATTGAATCTCAATTAGTAAAATGGTCAAAATTTTTAAATATATATAATAAATTAGTTTTTTGAATAATCTTTAAAACAATATAAGTGTATTTTATTGACTTTTATGTAGCTGTTGTATAACAACATTTTGTTTATAACTTTAAAAGTGATCGTCAACCAATAATATATATTATATATTTATAGGTAACTTATCTATGATAAATATCAATTAAAAAAAAAAATTAAATATCACATGACTTAGGTGTTTTTTCAATATATAATAAAGAAAAAAAACCGGAAATATCCATTACGCCTTTTACCGTTTAAAACTTGATATACTTTATATCAGGGAATGATGCTGATATAACTATAGTGCAATTTACTCCTTAAGTGGTTGAATATTAAGCTTTATTTTTATTTTACTGAAATATTGAGAGTTTCTTAGAACATTCAGGTAACAAACATGAATCGATAGCATCATATTTTAAGATTTAGTGTTGCTGCAAGAAAAAATAAGTTACGAGCAAAAAAAAAATGGTTTATTAGATTAAAAACTCAATTATAATATAATATAATATAAACATACCTTATATTCTTGATGTAAATTTATATTATATTATATTATATATTAAAAATTCCATATTTTATTTTTCAAGGGTATAATATAAGTATTAAAAAAAAAAAAATTAGGATTAATGCAAACAGTATAAAATAATAAATATGATTTCAAGTATTAACTTTCAATATTTAATAGATAGAAATAAATCTTTTCAATTGTATCGAGTCATAAGTTTAAAAAAGACAAATCCAGAATATCCAAAAATAAATTTTCAGAAATTAATTTACAAAATTTGTTTTAAAAACGTTGCTACTAATATAAAATAATATACCTAATAACAAAACACTACATTTGGCTTTTTATAGTATTTAAAATTATTTTTTTAAACAACCATTTGAGAAACGTATGGGTGAAGATCCCCGAAAATATTGAAATTTAAAGGCGGTGAAAGGTGCTCACACAACGGTGAAAAAAATGAAGAAATTATTAAAATATTTGAATAATATAAAAATTCCTTATTCTGGTAACAGGAATTAAACAATGTAATTTATTATTATATTATTTACAAGTTATATTTTCAAAGATAAAAATTATTTTATTGTTGAAAAAAATAACGAGAAGTCGTCTTACCAAATAGTGTTTTCGGTCGAATAAACCGTCGGCCTATAACTATGCCGTTTATGATACACGAAAAAAATATCTTAATACAATACAATTTTAGTTGTGTAGATAGTAAATATATGTTTGTTAATGAAAAAAATTAAAAAATAAAACAGGCATATATGCAATATTTTTATATTATATATGAAAAATAAATTACTTTAAAATCCATAACTTTCCATTTTGCACGTTGTCATAATTTTTTTTGTACAAAAATATATATAATTTTTTTTTTAATTTTTGGGAGGCTAACGGGTCAATTTACGCATATGACTTTGCGACGAAACTAAAAGACACATTTGGAATTTTGCCCCGGGTGCAATATATGGTTGGGTTGCTAATATATATGGTTGCTACAGCTCTGCTCGTAGTTGAAGATTAATAATAAAAAAAAAGTTATTATTAGAACCCCAGTCCATTAGGTAGACAATAAGGACACAAAGACCACAACTCTAATTGACCACAAAGTTTAATTTAAACGAGTTAATACACAAAAAAGGTCCATTCCAGGCCGTATGTTCAAGGTGTCTTAGACACCCTCTGAACTTTTTTTAAATGTACATACTTGTTTATATATAAGGTGATCTGTTTATCATAAACCACTTAATTACTCACATAATATAAATAGTTTTGAAATTTTATTTTTTTATTACTTTTAGTTACACATTTTTCTCAAATTATTAGCTATGTAATACTTTTTTTTAAGTTCACATCTCTTATACAATCCTTATGCCTTGTAAGGGTGTGAACTTTATTTTTAAAATTAGAAACATAGAGNCTTGTAAGGGTGTGAACTTTATTTTTAAAATTAGAAACATAGAGTTTAAATTTTTTAATTAACGAAGATTTTTGTTTTTATAGCATTATAATTTTTATTTGACTTAACTCGTTAATAAACTATAACATTTTAGAATTAAAATTTTCGGAATTAAAATGCATGTATAGTATCTAAAACATCACAAATAAAGGTAACTACTTACCTTCTTAATTTCATCACTATTCATATATATGCAGCAGTTTCTACTAATTATGTGTACTATTGAGTGATATCATCTATGTAGTTCTAAGACACATTGTTGCAACTAAAGGTTTTAACATAAACATTTATAATTGACCCGTCAAAACGAATCTATTAGATACCGGTTAGTATGTAATCCCTCATATATTATAAATTTATTTTAACTTCAATATTCAAAACTTAAAAGTATCAATCTAATAAACAGAAGAAATTATAT